CTAATGGAAAATACAGTTTGGTAATTTTTCCATCGTTAATTGGGTGTGGATTGGCTGGTGGAAACTGGGAAAGAGACTACTTACCAGCAATTATAAAATTTTCTAGACAGGTCTACCCCTTTGGTGTCAGAGTTAAAATTATAAACAAAATTATGTCAAAGACATCATAACAATGAAAAGAATAGTTAAACCTCCTAATTTATATATATATTTTTTTTCATAGGTTCCCCCCTTTATGACAAAAAAAACAAAAAAAAAAACAGGACAGTGTCATTAACATAAATAAGACGGACCTCCACCCTCCCTGGTCAATTGTTGTTGTGTGATGATTTAATCCTGACAACAGAATGAACCAGTCAGTGGGTTTAGATATGTTCCCTAAAACTTTATGAACTGATTGAGGTGAGAGAGACCATAGTTACTAATTGAAGAAATTTTATCTCTACCCTTCTACCACTACTACTACTACTTCCATCCTACTCTTATTTACCATATCACTTTTCAGACATCTTTCTACACACCAAACCCCGAGAAAAGTGTTGTTTTTTTTGTTTATTTTTTTTTTTAGAATAGTTAATTGTGGAATAAAGAGCTTTTTCCCCTTGTTTACAACTCCATTTCTTCCCCCCTTTTTTTTAAATTAATATTAATGTTATCTTTCATATTTCTTCTAGGTTTAATATGGAATTATCTCTGGGGAAATGTCCAAAGAGAAGACATTTAAAAAAAAATATATACAAAATATCAAATTCAAAAAACTCAAGAGGTTGCCAACTTTTTTGACTTGCAAGATTTCTCCTACAAGGTCAAGATTACAGCAGAATATCAAAGTGAGAAACATCATAGAAATTATGACAGAAGCAGAAAAGGCATCGTTAACTATTATATTTAATTGTTCACCAAATATCAGATCAATTGATACTGATATAAATCTGTTTGAAAATGAACATGATTTTAGACAAGACGAGTGTTTTGTAACTAAGAATAATTCTACAGTCCTGGTTAAAATACCATTTTTGAAAAAATATCAAACAAACCTGGTGTCCAACCGACTCTGGGGACCTGATAATAAGGACGTTGTTATTGATATATCAATTAAACACGATTCCCTTAAAACTATCAAGAAAAATGTCATTCGTCATCAAATTGTATCTTGCCCCATTTGTTTAGATATGAATGGGTCAGGTGACATGGTTTTTATGTTTGATGATTATATGGTTGGATGTGGTCACAGTATTTGTCCTCAATGTATGTTTACATTATCAGCCAAAATTTTGTTGGGTAAAAAATCTACAGGGAAATTTGATTATAATAATTATGGCTGCCTTAGATATATGAATAATTCTTATGGGATGTACTCTTTTTTATCAAATATTATCTACAAAGATGAAATATTTTGTCCACTTTGTAAGCAAATAGTAAAAAGTGTGTTTGTGTTGAATATGCATCATCTAAAATGTAGCATTAGGGAATTTTCTCGTAAGTATGCCCAAATCTTATTTTGGGGTAATCAAACTGACAGGCTGTTTTTAGAAGCCGCAACTAGTTTTATATATGGAGTGGAGCAATTGGCAGTCACTGGTTTGTATATAGAAAGATATATTATGGAAAACAGTTGGATTTTTGACGAATATGTGACACCAGTTACCCTATACCTTAACTTTAATGAAACACTTTCAGAGATGAAACTTGTTTTTAAGAGTTTACAGCCATATTTATTAAAACTAGCCTCAAAAAATTCTAATGATCCATCAAATAGAAAATACTTATTATTCTTTAACCAACTTTGTCATAGAAAGGGGGGTGAACCAATCCTGAGACCAACATTCATTAAATAAAACAATTAAAAAAAAATGTTTTTTTGTAAATAAATGTATATGTATGTGTTATTTGTACCTCTGTTTGGGTTTCAATCAGAGGGCATCAATTTCTCAGGCAGCAACAGGTACCACCTAGCGTTCATATTCATATGACAACCCAAGGCCAGCCATCACCACTTCAGTTGCAAGGTCCACCGCAGGTACAGTCACAGTTGCCACCCCAGGGCCCAGCTCAGGCACCAATGCTATAAAAACTCTAGTCCGAAAAGTTAAAATGTCATCCTTACCACATTCCATATCATATTTTTATTCATTTATATATATATATATATTATATATATATATATATATATATATATATATATTATATATATATATATATATATATATATATATATATATTTTTTTTCTTTTTTTTTGGATAATGATGATGATGATGATGCTGATGAGGAGGAGGAGGGTGTAATTATTTATTTCTTATGTTTTCTCATTTGAAACTGTGTTTGGTTGAAGTTGTAGCTGGTTAGATACATTATCCAAATCTGTATCTACAGTATTTTTTAGTCCATCTGTGAGCGTGTTTTGACTCAAGGTTGTGCAGTGTGCTCGCAGAGTATATCAGAATCCTAAAACAAAGAAAAAAAAGTGTCCTTTTTTGGTAAGTAAGTATATGAAACATATAAATAAATAAATAAATAAATAGCATACACCTTAACCTTTTAAGTTAATGTGTTTTTTTTTCAGAAGATGGGTGAGAGGGAAAAAGGTAAGAAGATCTTTATGCAGAGGTGTGCACAGTGTCACACTGTTGAATTAAACGGCAAGCACAAAACTGGACCCAATCTAAATGGCCTCTTCGGCCGCCAAACTGGTCAGGCTTCTGGCTATATTTACACTTATGCCAACAAGGCCAAGAGTATCACGTGGGACAAAGATAATCTGGATATCTACTTGACCAACCCCAAGAAATTTATTCCAGGCACAAAGATGGTGTTCGTTGGTCTTAAGAAGAAGAATGAGCGTGCAGACTTGATTGCTTACCTGGAAACCTCCACCAAGTAGAGCAAGCATTAATATTTTTGTGGTGTCACCACAAAAATAGAATTAGAATTAAGAACTTAGAATTTTTCATTTAAATTCTGCGAAGAGAGAATTAATTGCTCGAATAGTGGCGAAAGATATGGTCCTTTTATGTAGAAAGGGTAAACGCGTACTTTTCATAACCCGAAATCCCCATCTCTTTATGGACCTCATTCAAACGGGGAGAAAAGGAAGAAATCCGTCGTTTTATTATAGAAGACGAAGGTTTATCATCATCATCATCATCACCACCACCTCCATGTAAAAACACCTACAAGCCAAATAGTTTGCAGGCAATGTGCGTCAATCAATTTGTGAATTCCTTTTTGATAATAATAGAATGGGATATTGGACCGTGGCCTCTTACGTAGAACAATCAACACCAACCAAATATTCCTCATTTTTTAAAACGCCAATTAATCAATGAAGTTCAACGGAATCTAATGATTAGATCATGGAAAGAGCAGTAGCAGATGAAACAACTACTGAACTTTTATTTCAAACACACCACAGACCCCGAGATGAGATACATTGGCAAATTGGATAGCGATCACTATTCATACATTTTGTATGGTTTAGTGACGGTGATGACCACTGCCATTTAATGAAACTCGTTCACATGTCCAAAACAGTAGTGACATATTATTGGGATTGTGTAAGAGACACAAAGCACTGTGTAGTATTTTAAGTTATTTTACTGAATTGATTATGTTATAAATATTTGTTATTATTCTTATAATAAATAAATCTTGAAGTTAGGAGCAAATGCTAAAAGTATAAATAAAAACCATTGATGAATCTTAATAATGTAATAATGCCAAACCAATTAATTCACATATTTCTTTACATTACAAAGGAAACTTAAGGGGGCGCCTGGTTATTATAGTGAAAGTTGTTCAATGTCAACCAATATTTATTTTCTAGTTGTATATGAAAAGTGCTTAAATTGTCCCAAGTTTCAGTACTGCAGCGTAAATAGAAAGGGAGTTTTTTTTTCTTTTTTTTTTGAACGTTTTTTACACATTTTCAAGTCCACACTTCAGAAACACACGTTTCAGATATAATTATTCTGTGACACTTTTCTGCCACATTAGCATATAATAAAGGATTTGGGGATTTAAGAATTTCCAAAACATCTTTAGTTTTCCTAATACAAATGTTCAAAGTTCCCCAAAAATTTTTTGCAAATATGGCATGTTTATTGCTATTATAAAAATCAATAAATGGAACTTAGAGAAAATGAAAGCCCCCCAATGTAGAGACATGCCCTCCACATATACTGTGTAAGTTTCATCTAAATTGAATAAAAAGGAATCAGTTTTGTAAACGTTTGTGTCAATTGAAAAAAAAAACAGAAATGAATAAAGTCTAAGGTTCTAAAATATGTGGCTGAGGTTGACATCAACCAATTTTCTCCAAAATTGGCGTCCTTACAGATAGGCTTACGTACAGTCAGGTGTGTAAGTTTGAGTGCAAATCGCCAAAAAAAACAATAACAAAAAAAACAATATTTAAAAAAAAAAAGAAAAAAAATCCTTTTTTTTTTTTTTTCCTTAAATTTTTTTTTCCAATTAAAGTAATTATAATATTTGTTTAATATATGCTATTGTGATAGCAAAGAGTCATAGTTATGATTTCAGTTTACACTTTTGATTGATAATCGATTTTGAACATTTTTGCATAATTTGCACAGATACTTTAATATTCTTTTTTCTCCCTTCCTATTTATGCTACGATGCTGAAACTTGGACCAGATGAAACACTTTTCATATAGAACTTGTCAAAAAGGTTTGATTGAAATCGAACGAGTTTTTCATTTTTGCATTTTTGGACCCAGATGCCAACCAGACCGCCCCCTTAAGTAACTGAATGGACTCTGGCGGAAATCAAGGCCTTTAAAAACGTATTCGTCTTTCGTTTTGTATAGATCCTGTTGATCATTTCATTTACTGACGACGTCATTATACTTGGCTTCAATGCCCCCACCATCATTATTACCCCCTCCTCTCATATTATTTGAGATAACTAAAATTAAGTCAAATGGTATAAAAAGGGGAACTAATCATTATTAAAAGTACAACTTTTCAACAACTATTGTCACTAATTAGAAATTAAATTTTTGTAAGAAGTGTATAAAAGTAATAAAAATTTAGAATTTCACTTAACTATTACATTCATTTGCCCCAAACGAGCACAGTAATAATAAGTATAATGA